AGGTAGTGTCCTCTTCTGTTGTACGCAGGGTCACCAGGTAGTGTCTTCTGTTGTACGCAGGGTCACTAGGTAGTGTCTCCTTTTGTTGTATGCAAAGTCACCAGGTAGTGTCTTCTGTTGTATGCAGGGTCACTAGGTAGTGTTTCCTTCTGTTGTATGCAGGGTCACTAGGTAGTGTTTTCTTCTGTTGTACACAGGGTCACTATGAGTCGGACCCAACTCAACAGCCTCTAGCAACTACAATTTCACTCAGCATAAGATCCTCTAGGTTCATCCATGTTATGAGGTGTTTTGCAGGTCCTTCGTTAGTCTTTAGTGTTGCATACTATTCCACTGTGTGTATGCACCATACTTTGTTTATGTTTTCATCTACTGATGGTCACTTAGGTTGTTCTCATCTTTTTCCTATTATGAATAGTGCTGCGATGAACATGGGTGTGCATCTACCTAATCATGCCATAGCTATTATTTCTCTAGGATATATGTCTAGTAGTGGGACTGCTGGATCATATGGTATTTCTACTTCCAACTTTTTAAGAAAGTACCATACCTTTTTTCCACAGTGGTTGTACTATTTGAGTCTCACCAGCCTTATGTGAGGGTTCGAGTCTCTCCACACACTTACCAGCATTGTTTTGTTTTTGTTTTTGCCATTAATGCTGGGGTGAGATGATGTGTCATTGTTATTCTGACATGCATCTCTCTAACTGCTAATGATTATAAGCATTTTTTATGTGTTTGTTGTTTGTCTGAATGTCTTCTTTGGTGAAGTGTTTGTTCATGTCCTTTGCCCATTTTTTTAACTGGATTATACTGAAGTGTTAAGTTTTCTATAAATTTGAGATCAGTCCCTTGTCTAATACATTGCTGCCAAACATTTTTTTTTTTTCCCAGTCTGTAGGTTCTTTTTATTCTTTTGGTGAAATCTTTTGATGCACACACAAGAAAAAACCCAAACTCACTGCCACTGAGTCGGTTCCAACTCATAGCAACTCAATCGTCCTTGGGTTTCCAAGGTGGTATCTCTATGGAAGAGATTGCCCAGTCTTCCTTCTGAGGAGTGGTTGGTGGGTTTGAACCACCAGCCTTCTGGTTAGCAGTCAAATGCCTTAGGCACTACATCACCAGAGCTCCTTTTGATGCACATATGTGTTTAATTATCTAGTTTGTCTTCTGCTGTTTGTACATTTTTTGTTATGTTTGGTAGTATATTTATGCCACATATAGGGCTCCTAAATTTGTTCCTAATTTTTCTTCGATGATTTTTATGGTTTTAGGTTTTATATTTATGCCTTTGATACATCTTTAGGTTTTGTATATAGTGTGAGATTCGAATCCTGTTTCATTTTGCTGCAAATGGATATCCAGTTTTGCTAGTACCATTTGTTAAGGAGAGTACCTCCTTCTCATGGAATGGGTTTTGGCCCTTTGTCAAAGATCAGCTGTCCATCGGTGGATAGATTTACTTCTAGATTCTCAATTCTGTTCTGTTGGTCTAAGTGTCTGTTGTTGTACCAGTACTAGACTGTTGTATCTACTTCAGCTGTATAGTAGCTGTTAAGACCAGACTGGAAAGTGTGACACCTCCTACTTTTTTCTTCAGTGGTGTTTTGATTAATTGGGGTCTCCTTCCTTTCCATATAAAGCTGGTGAATAGTTTTTCCTATCTTTAAAGAATGATGATGGAATCTGGATCAGGTTTATCATCTTTTATCTTATAAAAGAGAAAAAAGAGAGAGAATTAAGCAGAGAGAGAGGGACCTCAGTGCCACTCAAGAAAGGAGAGCTGGAAGCAAAGCACAGCCTTTGGACCAGGGGTCTCTGTGCTGAGAACCTCCTAGACTCACAAGACAATTCATACCAATACACATGGAGATCTCCAAAGAACGTTGGGCCCACAGATGTTCAAAGGAGACAAGGACCTCCCCCCAGAGCCGACAGAGAACAAAACCTTTCCCCTAGAGCTGGCGCCCTGAATTCCAACCTCGAGGCTCCTAAACTGAGAGAATAAATTTCTGGTTGTGAAAGCCATCCACCCGTGACATTCTGTCATAGCAGCACTGAAGAACAAACCTAGAACTGCATACTTTGCACAACTTCTGAGTTATAGCTTCTTCAATATACCATTTCCTGACTTAATGTCCTCTTTCAAAGGGCCAAAAACAATCACCTGTACATATTTACCTCCCAGAATGACATCAACAACCCTAATGTGGGATCAATGTGTAAGATTTACCTAACACAGCCAACAAGACAGTAAATAATTATTCAGCTTCTCAAAAAAAACCTTATCAAGTTTGCAGTAAATTAACCTTTTGGCAAGTTCAGTGGGAATAAGACAACAAACTCTGAATATAAATATATTTTTCTTCCAATATCATTTCACTTGTTTCATCACATCCCATTCACGAACAAGGAACAATCCAAAGGGTATGGACTCTCGGCAGAAGCCTGTGTTTCCCCAACAGCTGTTCTCACCACTTTTTCCTGGCGACCACTTGCCAGTGCACTTTGATGTGCAGAGACCAGGTCGTGTGTTATTGTTTAGCTTTAATGCCACCTTTTTGTTTCCGACCCAAGAAACCATATAGAAATGCAAGTGAGAGCACTGACATCACAGGTAAATGTTTTCTTTCTTTTTTTTAAATTGTGATTTGGGTAAAAGTTTAATACAAACTGGTTTTCCACTCAACAATTCATACACATTTTGTTTTGTGACATTCACTGCAGTCCTCACAATGTAACAGCACTCTTCCCACTTTCTCCCTGTGTTTATCATGTCACTTTGTCCTTCTTTCCTGTCCCTTCCTGCCTTCTGAGCTTTATCCCTGGGCAAATGCTGCCCTTTTGATCCCATATGGTTGACTGTTCTAATGAGTGCATTCCTTCCTGATGCTATCGTTCACCTTACAGGCCAACTGTTTGGCTGAAAATTGAGCCATGGGGTTGAGTTTGGTTCTCAGCTTGAAGGGGGTCTAAGGGCCATGGTCTCAGGGGTTCCACCTGTTTTTATCACACAAGTAAGCCTGTTCTTTTTTTATGATTTTGAGTTTTGTACTACACTTTTCTCCTACTCTATCCAGGACCTCCTACTGTGATCCCTTTCAGAGCCATGAGCAGTGGTAGCCAGGCACCATTTAGTTCTGGTCTCAGGACTGTGGAGGCTGGGGTTCACACAGTCCATTAGTCCTTTGGACTAATTGTTTCCTTGCATCTTTGATTTTCTTTATTCTTCTTTGTTCTAGTCAGGGGGTGACAAATAGTTGTACCTTGGTTGGCCACTCACAAGCTTTTAAGACCCCAGTCGCTACTCACCAAAGTGGGATGTAGAATATTTTCTTTGTGGATCACAGGCAAATTTTTAAACTGTCTCTAATTTTAAAATAAATCTAAAACTTAAATAACTTAGCAAGTTATTTAAATAATTACTTCCAAGACACATCAGAACTAGTGGAAACACTGATGTTTCACAACAGAACTTACTGAAGCTTTGAGAAAGAGCACTAACAAAACGTGGCTTCAGAGTCACCGGGTCAAAGGAGAAGTTTAGTCATTTTCTGGACAATGGGACATAATACTAATGCATTGTATACATACCATACAACATGAAAACTGGTGAAGAATCACACAAAGTCAGATAACAAAGTATACTTACTTCTTTCTTCAGTTCATTGAGACTGTGAGTGATTTTCAGTATACTGAGTTCTAGTTCTTCAGCGATACTTTTTGTTTTCTTGCTTTGCTAAAAAATGAAAGAAGTGTGTACATGATGTTACCCCATTTCCTGCATTTTAAAGTAGTAATTCCAATTTTACTTCAACTATAAATTACAATAAACTTTTAATATTATGGGAAATATAAGAAAAGCAGACTTTAAAAATTTATCTCCTTATAATGAAATTTTTAAAAATAGTAACTATTTAGTTACATTTTCTGACTCTATTTTACTTTTTATTTTACACAAATTAATCATGTCTAAAACGAATTTATTTTATCTTCTGCCTGGAATGCTCTTTCTTTCACTCTCAGTCTAGTTAAAAACTAAAACCCTATCCAGGAAGGTCTTCTTAGATCACCCAATCTCAATTAGACCACTAATATTTTTAAGTAATCATCCCAGTTTGCAATTACAGATTTATCTGTTTAAACCTTGTCTTCCCCACTAGACCTATTTAAGCTCCATGAAGTGCAAGATGCCATCCATTTCCTCCAGCACTGACATCACAGCACGTTCACAGAGCAGGCAGTAGGTGTTCGATTCTTTAAACGAATAAATCAGAGTTAAATGTCAATACCTCAGGAAGCCTTCTTGACTCCTCTTTCTAAATGTAAGCCCATCGTCCTTGAAAGCCCCTCACCACATAGCCTGTCCCCTCTCTTAGGGGCTTATAAAGCTTTACCCCTTCTTACATTTTGCCATATTCTAAACTTCCTGCAGGCAAAGGTTTTATCTTACTCATTTTTAGATTTCCAGTGGCTGACATACACAAAGCACTCAGTATTTGCTGAAAACAACGGAATGAATGAGCAACACATCTGACATGTAGAATCAGAGACCCGAATGCTTGTAAAATACGTCAAAGGCACTAACTGTAGATCGAAGCATTGAGAGAATCAGATTCCCAGTCCAGAGAGCATTTCATCACAAGAATCTCTTTCGACTGAATGTTGGGCTGAAAATATTTAACATAGTAGCAATCTTCAGCCCAGACAAGGTACCACAGATAATTCAAACTAAACACAAAATGTTGCTCATCTACTCTAGGGCATGTTTCCCAGTTAATATAAACGTTTGCTCTAATAATGATGCCAAGAAAACATCAGAGATAGCTGTGATTTAAACGCATTCTTCACCCATAAATCAGTCTATTTGCAGGGAAGTAAACTGCTGCTTCTGCCTTCACACTTACCCATATTCATCCTTCCTCTTTAGTCTTACTGCTAAAGCTTTTGTTCATGACTTCCAGATTAGTTCTATCTATGCTTTATGTTATAAACCCTGTTACATACTCTTATGAAATAGCCTGGGTCTAAGAAATAAATAAATGAGGCCACAGCTATCATCTCTGTCCTCCATCCTCTCTCAACTACAATTTTGTAATCCACCCTTTGTAAGAGATTAGGTCCGCGTGGCCTGTGTCGTCTCACACCTGTCAGTCCTTAACCACTCTTGCCCAAATAACCTCCCACGTTTCAATCATATGAGCAGCCTACTGAAGGCCCTAGACACAGCTGCCCACCATTTTAGACCCAGAATCTGTGCAAGGGTGGAAAGTCTTTTACCTGCTAGCTTGATCTACCCTTGTCTTCATTGCATCTAGACCTCAGTACATTTTCTAAAGCACTGTGTCTGTAAATCAGCTGTCCTCAGAGTTAAGAACTGTGCACATCTGCATGGCTCCGGCAGTAAGATTCAGGTCCCAAGAGCCTCTAGGTAGGGGTCTACTCCTCTGCTCTTCACTCTGAAGAAGCATTTTGGGGAAGAATTTTCCAGAGATGAGTCTAGTGGAAGAGTGGGGACAATAGGGTGAACTAGTGATGGTGCCAGTGGCACAGAACCCGGCCTGGCCAGGGTGAGGCCCACACACTGTGAATACTGATGGGGAGGCCATCTCAGCCAAGCAGGAGGGGAGGAAGGATGATGCCCCTCTGTCGCACTCTGGACCAAATCACACTCCTGGTGAGTATGTTAGCTTTCACATTTCTCAAGGCATTAGGGAAAACCTATTATGTAAGAGTTACTTTCATGGAAAAGTTCTTACAGCTTGAATCCACACAGAAATTAACTGCTGGAGTTCCGTTCTCGCCCGAGCCGACAGTTCCAAGATGCGTTCCCTCTGCTTATGGCTGGTGTAGGCAGAATCAGTAAAGCCCTCTGTACACTCCAAAATGGCTTCCAGTGTCACAGAAAGATTCTCTTTGGACTGAAAATAAAGATTCTCCCGAAGGGTTTCAATATTTATCTGAGAACAAAAAGGATGACACTCATGTGCGTCAACACTCCCACCAAACCACAAAGCGGGGTAATTTCTATAGTGCCACCAGAGAAGGCACCAGCAATTTCTTTCTGTGTCTAGGGGCTGAAGGAAATACACTGGCCAGTGATGGCTATATTCTCCACTCAGCCAGGAGGGCACACAGTTCCAGAGCCACTAATGGCCATGCAGAGCCTCACTCCTACAGTTGTTGTTATGTGCCATCGAGTCGGACCTGACTCATAGCGACCCCTCTTTGGGTTTCCGAGGCGGTTGTTGTTGTTGTTGTTATGTGCCGTCGAGTCGACCCCGATTCATAACGACCCCTCCTTGGGTTTCCGAGGCAGTATCACTACGGAAGTAGGATTGCCCAACCACGGAAATAGATTGCCCAACCCAAATTCCTATGAGACCAGTGAGTACCAAGGAAGAAAGATCGTCAACGTGTAGCAACTGGTAGGGACCATGTGCTCGCCTCCAGGTAAAGGAGACTCGTCTGACAAATGCCTAGGCAAAGCTTTGGAAGACAGGCCACACCCAAACATGAACATGTGTTGAGCCCCAGGGGAAGGGCGTGGAAGGCATCGGGTATGGGAAATGTATCAATTTTTCCTTCCTTAATTCAGCAACACTCTCCTAGCCATCTAACTGGTCTCCCTGCATTTTGTCTCGTGTCCCCAACAGTATCTCCCTGACCAAAGCCACCTCCACGTAGCGGCTAGCATAGCCTTTCTAAAATGTAAACCTCTGATATTGCTACTTCCCTCTACTTGGCTGCTCTCCGCCTAGAGTCCAGCCCCAACTTCCATGGTAGCACAAAACCCTGCATGGTCTGACTCTTACACACCTGAGAAACATTCTGTCTCACGCTCCACACTCCAGAACAACCTTCCACTTGGGCCATACTGCGCTTCGAGCTCCTTGAATGGGTGAGGACACACGCTCCCCTGTGCGGTCTTTCTCTCACTTTCTAAGCTGTGCACGCTATGCATGTAACCTCACTGAACGTCTGTGCCATGAAACAGGCCAGATACAACCTGGGCCAAGAAGCAATAAGCAATGATGGCCATTGCAGTTGCAGTTAACATGATGATGGGCTAGCTTACAGCTTTCGGCACTTTGAAGCCCTTCCACAAATACTATTTTAATTCTTCATACAGGACCCATTTTACATGCCCCATGAAAATACCAAGATTCAGGAAGATCAAGAGGCTTCCCCTTCTTCTGCTGCCCGTTAATCCAGTAACTGCTCTAACCTAGGCAGGAAGATTTTTTTTTTTAAAGCTAGGGAAAAACGTGGATAAAAGTGAATATGAGATCGACAATGAGAGATTGAGAACTTGAGAATTTAAACAAAATTAAAGCATAAAAATCAGTTATGCTGAACCAATACCACGCAGGTTCAGGTTTTTGATTTTCCCTTCAGACTCGATGGCACCTAACAATAAGGCAGACCATACACATATCCTTAGCCAGCGACTGAGTAGAGTTTTTCAGTTTGTCTTTTAAAAAAGCCATTCATTTATACAGTTTCATAAGATTTGATCATACATTCGCAACAATTAATACAGTATAGCAAGGATTTTGAAATTGGCACATGACCAGGCAGTGTTTCATTCTGTTATATGTACGAGTGCTATGAGTCGGAGCCAACCAGACAGCACCTAACAACAACAATGAATACAGTAAAATATCCACTTGACTGGATTATATTCGCCATCAGAAGAAAGTAGTATGTGAGAAAAGATAACCACTGTCCGGTGAGACCACCCCTTCAGTGCCCAGAATGCCGGACTGTGAAAGTGTCAGCAGCCACAGGGGAAGAGCTGCTCCGAGATGAGGGACCCGGACGAGCACGTCAGGGCTTGGAATGTCAAGAGGCACAAGACGTAGTTCTACACCTACTTATTTCTTTCATTAGCCTTTGACCTTTGAGAAGACATCTCCTCTCTGAAGCTTTATAGAGGGAACTAAAAAAATAACCTCCAAGATCCCTGTCAAGGAGCTTTGGTGGTAGAGTGCCTAAGGCTTCTGACTGCTAACCAAAAGGTTAGAGGTTCAAACCCACTCACCCTCCGTGGAAGGAAAACTGGGCAATCTACTTCAATAAAGATTTACTGCCTCAGAAACCCAAAGGGGGTGCTGTGAGTCAGAACTGACTTGATGGCAGTGAGTTTAGTTTTTTTCAGTTAAGATCCCTGTCAGCAATAAAAATTCTAGGAGAATGACTGACTCCTGCTACCTTTTTCTCCTCAGGAAGAGACTCTGAGGTAAGATTGGCATAATATAAACAAACCCAGAGGTGTAAACTGGCAAGGCATGGACGTTGGGATCACAGAGTCCTTGTTCTAAAGGTGGGAGCAACCCATCTTATTAGCATTCCTCCTTAAAAAACAAAAAAGTTATAGTAATATCCACCTAAAAGGACAGTTAGGGATTAAGTAATAGTTATTATTGTATTTTTTCATAAATAACACACACCTTCTATGTTTGCTTGCCAACTGCTCCCCCCACCAAGTATTTATGAAATTTTTTTTTTGCTGTAAAAAAAATAGCATAGCATATTTACAAAATCACCTCCCGGAGGAGGGAGTAGTTGGTAAATAAAGGTAGAAGGCTCGTGCTGTTTGCAGAGAAAATATGGTAAATCCCCGGATCCTCAAAATAACATTTTCTTTGCATCATTTTCCTCCTCTCATCCCATTTTCCTACTTAGACCTTCATACTAAAGTCAAAGTCCAGTAAGAGGGAAGGAGTGCCATCTGTCTCAGCCTTGGCCAAGAGAGAAGGTACCACTAGCACATTAGGTAGCTTCTCAGGCCTTAGTTTCTCTATCTGTCAAATGAAGAGTTGAACTAGACGACTCCTACAATCCTCCTGACCTGGACAGCTCCTTCCCAAAGATTTCCCAGGGGCATTTACCATCTCTCTGACTTCTTGAGCAGTTCTGCTCTCAAGTAGTAGGGATTCTGGAGGCAGACTGCCTGGTTTCAAATCCCAACTCCATGGAACAAAACTCACAATCATCAAAACAAAGAAAGACGAGGTATACTGGTCTGATAGAATCTGGTGAGATCCCTGAGACCAGGGCCCCTAGTTACCCTTCAGGTCTGAAACTGAACTCACTCTTGTGGCTTCCAACTAAACAACAGATAGGCATATGGGGTGAACATTTATATCAGGTAGATATATTCCTTAGAATGATCACTCGTGGGAGAACAGAAGGGCAGTACTTGCCCAGGGAGATAGTTCAGGGGGCCGGGATGCATAGAGAAGAAGGACACAGGGAAGAGGAAACTACAGGGAGGAAGTAGGAAGAGAGCTGTTACATTGTGGGGAACTTCAGAAAATGTCATAAAACAAAATGTATATGAACTGCTGTAAACTTTCACCCAAATCACAATAAAAATTTTAAAAAAATAAAATAAATCCCAACTCTGACACTTACTAATCAGCAAGTTACTTAATCCCTGTTCCTGACTCAGTCTACTCAGAGGTAAAATGGGGATAATAACAGTAATACATACTCCATCCACAGGTTCTTGCAAGGACTATGTGAGCCCATACATTTAAAGCACTCAAAACAGGGCCTAGCACATAGTAAGTGCTCAATAAATGTTGGTGTATGTGTTTTTCTTAATTATCATTAATACTACTTACTATTACCACAGTCTCAAAGTACTAGCCCTACAGCATAAGGATGAGTAAGAATTCCAGCAGAAATGATTCACTGCCTGTCATCCATGGGTGATATGGCACTGCCCAATTCCCATTATTTTGGCTACACAGGACCAAGGTAGATGCTGTAACCCAAGACCAGTGTTCTTTTATATACACAGCACTTAGCCAAATGCTACTGAATATTATGTTCATCTACAGATGCATGGTTTTAAAGAGATAGTCTTGCTTCTGTGAAGTAGCTATTCTAAAATATTACATGAAAATATGGATACTATGTAAAAGAACGCTCCTTTAAAGTAGAAAGAAAATCAAATCAAAATATACTCTTCTTTCTATTCTTACCTTGAATTCTTTAATTGCAGTGAAAATACTGATGGATGAAACGTCAGTCTCCCCACTTGGTTCACAGTCAGTGACAATTTCAATGACCTTATCCAAGGCCACTTTCATCCGGTCAAATACTCCTTCTTTGCTTTTGTGGGCTGACTCGCAGGTAGGATGCCTGAGGCACGTCTTCAAAATAATTGAAAATTTTCACTTTAATATGTGACCCATCTCTTAATACACAAAATCTTTTACAGAACACGTCATGCTAATAAAAATGGTTCTTTACCAAAATCTCCCGGGTCCCTGGCTCACTCAGCTGCTTCTCCTCACTAAAAGTGGAAGCAGGATGACTAAAAAGTGATAGCAGGTTAAGTGAAAACTCAGAGTGCAAAAGTATTATCTTCATATTCTAGTGATTAGTTCACTTAGAATTGTTGAAGGGAAATAAAAAGAAAAAAGAGAACCTGTATCTTCATCATGATTAAAACTATTGAAAAATGTTGCCTCATGTATACAAGAACTAAAAGCAAATGAGGAAAAACTAAGAGAGATGATATATGACTGTGGATATAATTTGATGCTTAAAAAATGACATAAATAACAAACTCAGAGGCCTGGACACAAGCAGGGGCTGCCCCATGGGATCCCCCTGATAATTCTCTCTTTTGTGGCTTCCCTGATCCTAGCACAGGTCAAGTAGTCTGAGTGGAAAATGGCCAAGTAATTCTAAACCAACTACTAATGCCAGTTAATTCTTGAACTGTACCAATTTGCCAGCCAACTGCTGTTTGGATTGAGAATCTCTTGATTGACAATTTTTTTCAAAATAGAATATAGAAGTAGAGGTATGAATTTACAGCATAAACAAAGTAAGGGCTGACATCATCCTCCATGGTTACTTAACTGGTCCTAACTCACCTAGCTTCTCCTAGCACGTGTGGACTGCCTCCCCACTGAGACCAGTGGAAGTCTGCAGGCAGTGGCCATGTCTGATAGGCCTGGATCCACAGCACCTACTCCGCCACCTTCAGTACAGCTGCTTACGCCCAGCAGATGTGTAGATTAACTGTAATCTGGAGCAGGAGAAGCATTCTGAGGACTGACTGAGATATAACTACCATGGCCAACGTTCCCAGTTATCATCTTAATCTTTTTAAAAATACAAAATATATAAATGAGATGACTTCGATCAGGTTTTCTAATTCCTACCTTATGACTCAGTAAGACAAAAGATTTGCATACCTTTGAAGCTGTGAGAAGCATCATAGTACACTTCTCAAGGACTGCCCTGGCTGCTGCCATTTTTGCCTTTTTCTTTTCATCTTTCAAATCCTAAAAATGAAATAAAATCACGAGGAGTCTAGGAGCACATAAACAATTTAGTTTATTGAAAACTCATTTACTCAACATGACAAAACAGTGACAATGACAGAATTCACTTTTAGATGATACTATAGCTTGCTGGGGGCTCTGATAGCATAGTGCCTAAGGCACTTGACTGCTAACCAGAAGGCTGATGGTTCAAACCCACAAGCCACTCCTCAGAAGGAAGATGGGGCAGTCTGCTTTCGTAGTGATACTGCCTCAGAAACCCAAGGAGGGGTCGCTATGAGTCGGGTCCAACTCGATGGCAAACAACGACAACAACAACATAGCTTGCTGATAGGACTACAAAGTGGAATACTCCTTTTGGAAATACTGATCAAGAGTTTCAAAACATGTGCACTCTACAGCCCAATAATTCTACCTCTGGAAATGTATCCAATGGGAATAAAAACAAATTTAGAAATCAATTCATATCATATATGGAGATATATATATATATATATATACACATACACATACATACATATATATATGTATATGCATATATATGCATTCATTCACAGCATGTTAAAATCATTTCTGAAATATCAGAAACTTAAATGATTAAGGAAAATGTAGTAAATTTATTTAATAAAATATCTGGTGGACTGTTGCACAGTAGGAAAGTGCAGTCAATGTCATGAGACAAAAGTGTATGTGAACTGCTGTATGGAAAGTGAATTTGCCCTGTAAACATTCACCCAAATCACAAATAAAAATTTTTTAAAAAAATAGATCACCACATCTTTCTCCCCAAGTGCCTCTGGGTGGACTTGAACCTCCTCCTGGTTAGTTATCAGAGAGCACAGTGACCATTTGCACAACCTAAAGATACCCTTTATAAAATCCTGTAATTGGGAACCAATAATCAGAAGCTCTCAAGAGACTAGAGCTCAACTTACAAATCCCTAAGAAGTTTCCACTATTTATATCTCCCAGGACTAAAAAAAGAATTGCTTTATGGCATAGCTGAAGATCAAGTTCCTGACCAGCCAACTGATTAACAGATTTCAATCTGTCTGTATAAGATTCAAATTCAAACTCAAAATTTAACTGTACACAAATAATATTAGTTACAGTGTCAATGCCCTTAGTTTTGTTATTACCATAACAACTATGTAAATAATGTAATCAATTATGAAAATATGAAATAATTTCTATAAAATAAATTAATAGCTATCCAGCAAAGATATGTTTAAACTCGAACACCTATAATTTGAATTAAAATAATATGTCTCCTATGTTGTTAAATTCTATTTCAAAAAGTAGTAAATTTTATTTATGGCCAACATTGTGAATATAATTCGATGCTGCTCCTGAATAAAAAGATCAAATTTTAAAAATATATAAATATACCATGGAAATTTTTCATGTTTATGATGATAAGCCAAACCCACTGCCACTGAGTTGATTCTGACTCAGCGACTGTGGTAGTTACATCTATGTGTCAACTTGGCCGGGACTGGTTGAGTGGCTGGGCAGCTGAATGTAGTTATTCCCCACGGTGAGACTGGTCATTAACTCCAGGGTGGAATCTACTGTAGCAGATGAGTAGATGTTTTAGGGATGTGGTCTGCTTCCAGTATATAAGCAGCAGTTTTGGGAATAGTTTCTAGCTTACGGTGGGCTTGAGCCCTGCATGTAGCTGAGTCGTTTGTTCAGCAGCCTGCCATGCTCTGCTGATCTTGGGACTTTCAATGGACTTGAATCAATGGCCTGGCGTCTGGTTTGGTAATAAGGGTACTGTGCTTTTTTCACTCGTTGACCTTGGGTTTGTCAGCCTCAGCAGCCAGCAGCTGCCTAAGTGAAGCGATGCTTCCAGCTTCAGTGGGCCGGGAGCAAGAGGGAGAGCTGAAGCCCAAGGGTGAGGGGCCTTCACCAGCCCCTAGACCTGGCACTTTGAACTCAGACTTCTAGCCTCCAAAACTGTAATAAACTGTTTGTTAAAGCCATCCCATTGGTGGTCTATATTCCTGTCAGAACACAGCTCTGGTAGTGTAGTGCCTAAGGCATTTGACTGCTAACCAGAAGGCTGGCAGTTCACACCCACCAACCACTCCTCAGGAAGAAGATGGGGCAATCTACTTCCGTAGTGATACCACCTTGGAAACCCAAGGAGGGTTCGCTATGAGTTGGGTCCGACTCAATGGCACGTAACAACAACACAACAGGTAACCAAAATAGCGACCCACAGGGTTTCTAAGGCTGTAAATCTTTACAAAAGTAGCTTGCCTCATCTCTCTCCTACAGAGCAGCTGGTGAGTTTGAACTGTCGACCCTCTGGTTAGTAGCCAAATGCCTTAACCTCTGAGCCACTGGAGCTCTGTGTTTATGGCAACAGAGATGTAAAAATCCTTATCTAACATTACAGAGTGAAGTTTGATAAATGCCACCTCTTCGATCTAAATGCAATCACACAATAAGCAGAAAGAAACAGCTGCCTTTATAAAGGGTGGCAGCATGAGGAATGAAGCCTGGGGGAAGCTACCACAGGGCTTAGGCTCTGTTCACTCACACCTGATGTTGTTGGGCCCAGGTGCACACACCGTACTAACCAGAAACAACCACCTACCTTCCTTAGTTAAAAATGACTTATTTATTGAGCATTTCCTGATAATTATTTCCCTTACAACAGAAGCTCTGAAACCAATTCCTTCCAAGTACCAGGTATGATTAATCCCATCTAACTGCCTGTTCATCTCACCATGAGTTAGGTTTATCCTAAACTTCACCATACCCTGCTCTGAAATCTGAAGCTGTATCTTGGGTGGTTAATTTTCCCCAACTACATTATGAACTCTGAACCAACCACTGTAGGGGATGGCGGCTTCTCTTCATAAAGTCCTCAACAGAGTACTGTCACAGAAGGCATCCCAAAGCTGCTGATCCCATCCAGAACCAAATGCTCAAATAATGACTTGGTTAAAAATCAAAACCAAGCCAGTTGTGGTGAGTTGTTCTGATTCATGGTGGCCCCCGTGTCTCAGAGCAGAACTGTGTCCCTGGGGTTTTCAGGGCCGTGACCTTTCAGAAGAAGGTCACCAGGCCTTTCTCCCAGGTGCCCCTGTTGCTGTTGTTGTTGTTACATGCCGTCGAGTCGGACCTGACTCACAGCGACCCCTCTTTGGGTTTCCGAGGCAGTATCACTACAGAAGTATATTGCCCCACCTTCCTTCCCAGGAGTGGCTGGTAGGTTTGAACCACCAGCCTTCTGGTTAGCAGTGCCCCTGGGTGGGTTTAAACATCTCCATAGGACTGAACATAACAACAACAACAACATAGAACTTAAGTGTTTAACTGTTGACACCACACAGTGACTCCCATAAGTTGGTCATTACCATTGAACTCAGAGGCTGAGAAACATCTTCAATAAAAGATGGTCTCTGTTATAATTCTGCCATTATCGCGTGAAAGCTGCCATAGATGGTATATAAATGAATAAGCATGGCTGTGTTCCAATGAAGCTTTATTTGTTGTTGTTGCTATTTGCCATTGGGTCGGACCTGATTCATAGCAACCCCTCCTTGGGTTTCTGAGGCAGTATCACTACAGAAGTAGACTGCCCAACCTTCCTTCCGAGGAGTGGCTGGTGGGCTTGAACCACCAGGCTTCTGGTTAGCAGTCCAGTGCCTTATTTATGGACACTAAAATTTCAATTAAAATAAATTCATAAAATTCTCACAAGTTATAAAACACTTTTCTTTGAACAAAATATTATAAGAATATATATTGCCTGAGCCCTGGTGCAAGAGTCGAATGGAAAGCTTCAAAAGGTTCATGGGAACTACTCAAGTCGGGCCTTCCAAGGTGAGCACAACTTCTCCCAGTATGTAAGGCAAGAATGCTTTTAACTGTTACATGTGTACAGAAAAAGACTTAGAGATCTATTTACCTTATTTTGGCTTATTTATGAAAGGCTTTCAAGGCCAAGGTTATGGACTTCATAAGCAAAGAATGCAACCCAAGTGATCCCAGAGACTACACTTACATTCCAATTGAAAGGCATGCATTTATCTGAAGATTTTAAAATGGGACATATACATACATTTTGTCTATCTCCAGTTAGATGTGCAAACTCCACCATTTCATTTCCAAATTGACTGAATATTTGGACAAACTGTTGAAAACTATTCACCTTCTCTAGTCTTTCCATAGTTGCAAGAACCTGCATAAGAGAGGACAGTATTTTATTACGAGGGTAACAGAGCTGAAAGAGGCTGAGATTTCAAGGTTGAGTAGAGAAAGAACAAAAAAGAAAATTCTCCATTCCAGGGGAAAGCTGAGGAGTCAGAAAAGACGACAGAGAAGGAGGTGCTCAGACGAGTCTAAACAGGCCAGAGGGAAAAGCATCTAGGGAATGATGTGTTTTCAGGATGGAGAGACTTGGGCTGACTTGAGAGTAAAAAGGAATAAAAGAAATGATTAAGTATACAAGAGATGAGTGTAACAATGTCTGGAGAAGGTGGACGGGGCAGTGCTACAGGAATCAGATCTTCAGAGAACTAGGAAGGGTGGGATGAGTGACAACAAACAAGCTTTAAGGCTCAGTGAAAGAAAATGGGAGGAATTTTCATTCTCAGCAAAGTGGAAGGAAGGCCGTCTGCAGAGTAAGGCTGCAAGGCAGATTTTGGACTTAAAGAGCAGGAAGACCATTTGGACCCGCCAAGAACCGCCTGAGTTAGAGGATTAAACTGCCAAGAAGCTTTGGACAGTCAAGGGTGAAGAGAGGGCACGAATCTGCAATAGACCAACGGACATTGTTAGGTGTTTTCTTGACATAAGAAAGGAAAGCAAGGGATGTGGAACATATTTTCAAAAGCTTCTCTCTAAAATAACAGGACTGGATTAGTTTTAGTCAGACCAAGAGAGGTAAAGAAAACATAGATATCCTGTGTTTACTTAGTTTTAATGAGGATATGGTATTTGGCATGTTAATCTGCCCTGGCAGCTCAGGAAATCCAGGCAACTAACAAAGATAAGAGAAAATTAACAGCACTGAGCAGAAACTCCGCGTTCCAACGGGGAGGGGGGAAGGAGGACCGTTTTCTACTCCTCTAGACTGATCCTCCTCTGTGATTTTCTTCCTTCAAACTTCACACTCATCAAGTGTCCCCAGTCTCTCTCCTCAAATCCTCCCAGGACAGCCTTTTCCTCCCAGGCTGACTGCTCCCTTCCTTGCCCATCCAATGTAAGGAAAGAAAGGGCTCTACAGGCCTTGGGTTTGTGGGTGATCTAGGAACACCACTGTCATCTGAGAGACTGGGAGAGTTCTCAACTGAGAGACTTTAAATCTATCCTCTAAGTTCTATGGTAAGTCAGTAATTTAGGGTCTCAGCATACAGAAATTTCATAACTGAGAACATGATTTCAGTGACTAGGCTTTTTCTTAAGCTTATAAGTTGTTAACTCTCTGACTTGGAAAGAGGGACCAACGGATTCAGAATTTTTATTAACATGGTTTCTACTACACACATTGTCATGGTTCAGCTTTTCTTCCTGGATTCTGGACACATGAAATGCTTTACCAAGAAGCACCAACAAGAGGAAGATGATTTTCTGAGAAGGGTTGTTTGCATTCAAAAGTTTAGGCACAGTGTGCACAGTGTAGAACTACGTTGTAGAAGAAACACCACCTCTAAATTACAGACATTTCCAGTTACTGTTGTTATGTGCCATCGAGGCAGACCCGACTCTAAACAATTATAATAGACAAGCATTGCCAAATTACTGATAATTAATCTAAAAACCCCCTTTGAATAACCCTGGAAGACATGAGTACAGAAATATCAGAAAGGCCAAGTACCTTATTTCTCGATGTTATTATCTGCTTAATAACCACGCGGTCTGCCAGTAACAGCACTTTCGTCACTGAAGAAAGAAGTAACCTTGCAGCCTTTATAACTCCCGTTTTGTCTGTAAAAATTGTGATCTGACCATCAGATGGTGGACAACTCATGTTGGTTACATCTGTAAGTGCTGCAATTGTTTCTCCTGCCAAGAAAGGCCAGAGGAAAATGTTACGTTGAAAATAAGGCACATTTAAATTATATTCCAGATTATCCCTTAACCATGAAGGCAGGCTTCAGCATGGGTAGAACTTTGGCCCTGAGGTCTTTCGTCACTTACGCGGTAGCTCATCCTTGATGAGTGAAGGGAGTGTCAGACGAGGCTTTCTAATGACAAAGTAACAGCACTCTAAAGAACTATGACAAGTCTTTCGTCTTCACCCACTTTCAAAAATACAACTTTGTTTTCAGTCATATGGGAGATGACACATCCATAAAACCTCCTTCTCTACTAACTCCCAGGAGCCCAAAACCAAAGAGCCTGAAAACCAGAGCAGTAGGAAGGTATCGAGGTTTTGACAGCGGAGTTTTTTATCTGGGGTTGGGGAGAGTAGTGTTAATCTCCACAATGCAAAGAGGCTTGTGTTTTTATGGACACTTGGCGGGGGGGGGGGGGGGGGAATAAGGCTTTGGGCCCAGAGGGGCTCTATCTTCAGTGAAAAGGGAGTGTATAAAGAATCTGTTCACAGGCAAAAGGGGGCAAGAAGGAAACTTGTGAGTCTGTCAGCCTGGATTCTGGGTGGGGAAACAAACCAAACCAAATAAAAGCCTCCCTCCTGGGCACTCAGACCACAAGCCAATCCTCACTCGGGTTTGTGGTTTCAATCTATACTTATTATAATGCCGTGAATAAACCAATCTAACTCCTAACCCTCTAGAAAAGTTCTCTTCTTCATTGTTTCTACCAAAACCTTTTGATTTCTATTATAGCAATTATCTACTGATTGAAATATATATATATACATACATACACACACACACACACACACAAATGTTTGTTCTCCTCAAACATGAAACCAGGCTATAACTTTTTCTACCCTTCTTCTTGTTTAACATAATAAGATTAAAAAAATAAACTGTTAATCTTCTTATAATGTTCAAGGTAACTTTTTAAGTCCTAAATCCACATTTTCCTGCCTCGACTAATATAGGCAATTGAATATAAGAAGTCTATAGTAATCAAACGGAGCCCTGGTGGTCCAGGGGCGAAATGTTCAGCTGCTAACTGAAAGGCTGATGGTTCAAACCCACCACCACTCCATGGGAAAAAGATGTGGCAGTCTGCTTCTGTAAAAGATTTACAGCTTTGGAAACTCTATGAGGAAGTTCTACTGTCCTGAAGGGTCGCTAGGAGTTGGAATCGACTCAACGTATTAGCAGAGCTTCCTCAACTGCTTCTGTGCAGATGGTCCGGGTTTGTCTCACCAGATCTCCAGTGGTTCATCTGTGGGGTATTCCTGTGCCATTGTAACTCCCATTGTCTGGAACTACGTTTACCAACTCCTTTCTCATGCCCTCTTACTCTGGTAAGTGACTTAGGTTCACAACCTTGAAGCTAAGTTTGGGGTATTTTGCCAAATGTCACCCTTCCAGCTAGCATGCAGAATACTGGGGACTAAAACCCAGGCATTCCGACTCCAAGGCCCATGGTCTTTATCACTTCTTTCTATCACTCAAATGAATGTTAAATTGTCCAGAAGAGGAAAGGATCACTATGGTCTGAGTGGACTAGAGACATGTTAAGAGAAAAACGCCTTCCATACTATGCAACTCCAAGAGTACCATTCTCGTTTTCTTACCTGAGTGACACAGGAAGCAGTTCTCAAGAAAGGACAGGGCACTTCAAATGAGGAGGAGAGGGAGAGGTGACATGCAGAATTCATGACATCAGACGGCTTCCATGATACTTCACCCATGGCGCTGCCTAGGCTTGTCCCTTCCCCCCACTCCAACAACAGTGACACACAGGAAGCCAGTAGGACTCAAGTTGTCCTTCATTAATAAACCTCTGCTCTTAGCTTTAATCAAGGGTTGTCACAGGAAATAGTAACATGAAGAGCATCTCCACCTTTTTAGTTGAACTGTCCACTGCATTATGTAATGACCATTGTATAAACACCCACACAATAATTTAGTGCTAGGAAAACAGTCTCTCTCTCCTCTTGATAAGCTGATGTGTTATATAACCTCTGTTTCCCACACATTTGTCTTGGCTCACAGGAAGTGCAAAGATAAATTTCCTGTTTAATTAGAGTAACAGTGTTGGCTGAAATTTTTAGCATATTTACTTTCATCTCCTATTTAATGGTTTTAGTGTACATGTATCATTTATTGTAGGCCATTTCAAATTTTAAAATTAATCAAATTATAAATTATGAATGAAATAAGGATGTCCTTTCATCCCACTCCCCACCCCAGACAACCTATCTCCCATCCCAGCAAATGACTAGAAGCCAAAGAATCAACCCAGAGTCCTCCTTTTTCCTTAATCAATAACCAAGTCCTGTTTATTCAACTATGTCAATGAGTATTTTGTTTATTCTTCCTGCTCTTTATGTCCCTGTTAACACTACCTTCATTTAGCTCAGCTTACTTTAAAAGCTTTCCTATTAAAATCCCCACCTCTACTCTCAATCATCTCCCAACCAACCTCTATTTGTTCATTTCCTCCATACAACCAGAAAGAATTCTAGCACAAAATTGTATGTGATCTGACTCAAAATTCCTCAATGACTCCCCATTACCTACGGACTTACACCAGACGGCATTTGTGGAACATCTGGGACTACGTAGGATCTTGCTGGCTCCTCCACACTGACTCAGCCTTATCGCATTTGCTCCCTTCCTCCTATGAATGACCCTCCAAAAACACCTGCTCTTGCCTCAGGCTACCCTTCTCAGTAAACAGCACCACCATTTACCCAACTGCTCCCACTCCAAACCTGGTAGTTTACTCATCCATGCCTCTCATGTCATATCTTAAATTCACACTATCCAAAAATCCTACCAGCTCAACTTTCACAATACATTAAATGCAAATGCTTCCCCACAGTTCCTATCACTGCCTAAAAGGCTTATACCTTTTCTTAATATTCTCTTTCCAGGAATGCCATTCCCCCAGATCTTCACATAGCTAGGGTTCTCATTTCATTGCAGTCTCTGTTTTAACGTTAGCTCCTTAGAAGGTGTTCCTGACCCCCTATCTCATTAGGTCTCACCTGGGGATGATACTGACCCCAAGGGACATTTGGAATTGTCTGGAGACATTTTAGTTGTCCCAACAGAGGGTAAGAGTTGTCTACTGCCACGTAGCAGGCAGAGGACAGGCATGGTGCGGAACACGCTACAATGTAAAGGACACAACAAAGAATCATCCAGCCCAAATGCCACACCCACACCCACTGCCCTCAGTCGGATCTGACTCATTGCGAATACCACCTGCACTGCTCTCCTAACCCTTCCTTTGTTTTGTTTTGTTCTTAAAGAGAACTATTACCACTTGACATTATACATTTATTTATTTGTTTGTAGTCTTTCACCCTCACTGTAATGCAAGCTCCATCAGGGCAGACTTCGGACTGATGTGTAGAGGGTTATATCCCTATAGCCTAGAACAATACAGGCATACAACCAGCACTCAGTAGATATTTATTTAAAGAGTTAATGGATAAATAATACATCAATAAAGCTGAACTACTTTTATCCCTCAGAAGACCTAGTTCTCTTAGGCCTCTACGCCACCAGCTGTAGAGAACTATGAACTCTCATGAAACTTAGTCACAATGAGTTGTCTGCTGCCCAGTAACTCATGTTGTTGTTGTTGTTGTTATGTGCCGTCGAGTCAGACCTGACTCACAGCGACCCCTCCTTGGGTTTCCTAGGCAGTATCACTACGGAAGTAGATTTGCCCCATCTTCCTTCCAAGGAGTGGCTGATGGGTTTGAACCACCAGCCTTCTGGTTAGCAGTCAAGTGCCTTAGGCACTACACTACCAGAGCTCCTATACAGTAACTCATATGTACTAATATTCCTTTCTATTTCCTACATGGTGGTAAGTAGGTTAAGGCAGTCCTCGAGGGCAGAGTCCTTGTCTCACATTTTCCTATATCTCTCACACTTCAATCACTGATGGCAAGGATGGCAGACCACTACCCTGACCAGTGAAAAGAGTCTCAAGTTTCAGATTTAGGACTTTAGTCCTAGAAGTTCAAGATTCCTGGAAGCTAATCCAGGCCTTTTCTGTCCAATTGTTGTTGTAAGCCCTCAAGTTGATTCTGACTCACAGAGAGCCTGTACAACAGAGCAGAATGACCCCATTCCGGGTTTCCCAAACTGTAGTCTTTATGGAAGCAGATCAACAGACCTTTTCTCCCTCTGTGTCTGGTGGGTTCAAACCACAAACCTTTTGGTTAGCAGCCAACCTTTAACCACTATGCTACTAAGGCTCCTTTCCTGTCCTGTTGTTGTTGTTGTTGCTGTGTGCCGTCGAGTCGGCCCCGACTCATAGCGATCCCTCCTTGGGTTTCCGAGGCAGTATCACTACGGAAGTAGGATTGCCCAACCTTCCTTTCCTGTCCTAGGTATCTGTAATCAGATGGCTAAAGCACAGTACACACACATCTTTACTCAAAAATAAAAAATAATTTGTCATCATATCTGTAACAATAAAGTTTATGAAAACCGTTCAAAATCAATATCCACGTACCTGCTTGCTTAGCTTCAATACAGGCAATACTTATTTCTTCTTTCAAATCCCAGTTTTCATTGGCTATAGCTTCCCCTACTTTAACAAATCTTCCAACGGCCAGGTTGACGGCTTGTCCTACACGCTGAATTGCTTGCAGAGTTTTATCAGACTTTTTGGTATTATCTTTATGATTAATAAGTGTGGTGATCTAAAAATGAAAAGCAAAAGCGGCTTGCTTTAATTTTTATCCACTACTTAAAAAAAAAAAAAAAAAAAGCTGTATCACAAAGGCAAGAAAATTAAGTACAGCATGCTGGACTAGCCGAATAGACTAAATCAAGGGTCAACCCAAAGATGATCAGCAAATATCTAGCATCACTCCTTACAACAATTTCTCCATTAGTTAAAATTCCAAATTCACCTGAAGGCAATCATCTATGGCAGTACAATTCCACAGGCCCTCCAGATATTTCAACAAATCTTAAAGCTACGAGAAAAGTCAGAGAAAATAGATCATTACGTTGGTGGAACCCCCAGAAAACCAAAGTACTTCAGGTCGAGCTTCCTCTATTACGAGCATGAGCTGCCCTGAGGACAGAGAGAACACCTCCCTCGCCTTGGCACTCCACTGCATTGCCTAGCACAGTGCATGGGTTGTACAATGGAGTGAGTGCCAAATGGGTTACTGAATTAACCAGACACTGTAGGATAACTGTAATCTACACTTCATACTTCTCTACATTTTGTTGCACCAGAAAAGAAGTAAAAGAAATACGAGTTTCAACACTTGGCTCCAGACCCAAAAAGTAAAATAAAAATAGTGACTACTTCAGTTCTTTCAAACAAATACAAATCTTCAAACAGTCTTGGAAAATTACTGTGTGGACTATGCTAACATATAAAAATATTGAAGAATATTACATGAAAGATATGGATTCCAACTAGTACAAGTACATTGAATCTAACTTTGAAATAACTATATACATGATTAACAAAGACCAGACAAGAGAACAGGGTAAAAGACAGGAACCACTGTTTATTCAGCAACTACTATGCACGAGTCACTATATGGCACAGCATTAACAGTTTAGAATGTGGAAGGCCTGGCTATTTCAAGCTGCCACCTTAGAAGACACTCAGGAGTGAAAGGAGCTTATGTTTATAAAATCTTTTATTTACATAAAGTTTCTAAATTTCAGTCACAAAGAAGGATTCTGCAATTAGGCTACAATACCACCTATTGTTCTGTTCCCCGAACACATACTTTCTTTCACTACAAGCATCCTCCCCAGTGCATAATTAGGTGTGGCTGTCTTCCTTTTACTTGAAGCCGTCTAGAAAACATTTACCCTAAAGACAGGTATGCCTTAAAATTGAGGTTTGGAGGGGCTACGTCAATTTATAAAATTCCTATTAAAAGATCTAATGTCCTAAAATTACTTTATTTTGAAACTTTTTTAAAGGAAAGTTCAGAAGTTATTATGCATGTTGATTGTTTAAAACAAAAGGAGTGAGAGAATATAGGAAAGCCTAAAGACGTAAAAATCCCCCAGAATCCCACGACCCTGTGAGTATTCTGGCATAATTCTTATGTCTTTTTTACACATACACATACTAAACCACATAGCTTTACAAAACTGAGATCAGTCTTCAATTTCCTTATCAAGCAAAAAGGGTCAGAAAAATAAGGCTACCTTGTGCATTGAGACCTGAGTACCAAGCATTATTCTGTGTACTAAATCATTTAATGCTTAAAACTCCATAAACTAGATGTTAAAGAGGTTAATTTGAGCAAGACACAAAGCCAGGAAGATGCCTATCTTCTTAGTTATTATATTTAATCACTCTGTTGCCTCACTCTGCTACCTCTAAGGAGCTCTGATGGCCTGGTGCCTAAGGCATTAGACTGCTAACCAGAAGGCTGGTGGTTCAAACTCATTAGCCACTCCTCAGAAGGAAGGTTGGACAATCTACTTCCATAGTGATACTGCCTCGGAAACCCAAGGAGGGGTCACTATGAGTCGGATCCGACTCGATGGCAGTGAGTAAATTATAATGTGTTAAATAAAATTTTAGTAATTATTCTTCAGAAAGAAAAGGGATATTAAACTGAGAGCACAACCTGCAGTTGCCCTGACACCAGATTCTAGAGCGCTCCTGAATGAAGAAAGAGGACAGAGAAGGCCTCCCACGGGGAAGAAAGAGGAGCTGACACACTGAGAACTCTGCTGTGGAGAAAAAGAGGAAGATCTAGGGCTCATCTGCAACCTTCTAACAAAGGATGTCAAGAACTGCAAACCACCAAGGTGTAGCCTAGGAGTCACGAGCTTCGACTCTGCCATGAGACTGCCTCGGTTTGAATTCTGACCATGTGACTATGTGGCAAGTTATCTAATCTTTCTGTGACTCAGGGTTCTCATCTGTAAAAATGAGGATAACAGTACCTACCTCATAATGTTATTGTGAGGAGTAAACAAATCAGTACATGTAAAGTACTTGGATTGGTGTCTGGGATATAGTAAGCACGATGTAATTATTAGATATTATTACACTGCTTAGATTTCCAGAATCTATGTTCTTTCATCATGTTTGTGACATTATTCTTATTTTCCAGAATAACTAACAACACATCTGTGACTGTATTTTCGTAGTTTACTTATATCTTAGTTACACAGTGTTGCTATAGCAGAAATACAAGTGGATGACTTTTAACAATCAGAAATTTATTCTCTCAGTTTAGGAGGCTAGATGTCTGAATTCAGGGCACCATCTTGAGGGGAAGGCTTTCTTTCTTGGCTCTGGAAGGAGCTCCCTATCTCCTTTCAACAACACTGGGACCAGATTTCCTCTGAGATCTCCATGTGTCTTGATATCAGTCTTCCCCTGGATTTGGAGGTTCTCAGAGCAGGAACCACAGGTCTAAAGGTCATGCTTTGCTCCTGGCTCTGCTTTCTTGGGGTGGGACTCCCTTCACTGAGAACCCCCTATACTCAGGGGAAGACTGACACTAAGACACACGGAGATCTCACAGGAACACCAGGCCCACAGATGTTGAAAGAAGATAAGGCTCTTTCTCAGAGCCAACAGAAAGCAAGCCTACCTCTAGAGCTGGCACCCTGAATTCAAACTTCTAGCCTCCTAGACTATGAGGATAAATTTCTGTTTGTGAAAGCCATCTGTGTATGCTATTTCTATTATAGCACCACTAGAAAGCTAAGACAGAATTTGGTACCATGAGTGGGATGCTGCTCTGATAGATGCCTAAAATGTGCAAGCAGTTTTGGAATTGGGAAATAGTGCCTAACGCACTTGACTGCTAACCAGAAGGCTGGTAGTTCAAACCCACCAGCCACTCCTCGGAAGGAAGGTTGGGCAATCTACTTCCATAGTGATACTACCTCGGAAACCCAAGGAGGGGTCGCTATGAGTCGGGTCTGACTCAGTGGCACATAACAACAACAAATAGAAAAAGCCTAGATTGCTTTGAAGAGACTGTTGGTGAAATTATGGAAGTCAAAGCCAATTCTAGTGAAGGCTCACAAGGAAGTGAGGAGAGTTATAATACCAGAGACAGCACAGGTGGCAAGAAGCAGTAACAGAAACAGAAGGAGCGACAGAGAAATGGCAGCAGCAGAACAAGGAAGGAGACAAGTGCAAGATGGCCCGGAGATGTCCCATGGAGTTAGAGCTCAGTGCCTTCAGGCAGGAGGCTTCCTGGTGGACCAGGGTGCCTGCCTCTGGGCACCTGCAGACTGAGCTCGGCTTGCTGACTCATGGAGCAGGAGAGCTGAGCACCTTCAGGTTGAGGCTTACTGGTGGAGTGAGGTGTATCTAAACACTTATCGGTAGAGCTAAAGAGCTTTGTAACTTGCCCAAGCAAGGCAAAAGCCAGGCTGGCTGTAGAGGCCTGAGGAGCCAAGGGGTCAGGGAACCAGGAAGACAAGGAGAGCAGGAAGCAGGGCTGTTTCGGTCTCAAAGGATAGGGCCGTGGCCTCCTAGGTTGAATAGAGTCAGATCTTCACCAACTCAGCTGTAGTGTGTGGGGCTGCTGTTCATGAGGGCCAGAAGAATGGGGCCAGATTCACTGCCCAACGCTGAGGGGGTGGGGCTGCTATGCCCAAGGAGCAGAAGCAGGGGCCTGCCAGGGCCAAGGGGCTAGGGTCACCAGTTAAACTAGGAGAATGGGGGCACTCAAAGCCAAGGGACCTGACACCAAGAAAGAAGAGCCAGGAGTGGAATGCACTCTTTGGAGTTAGGGTTCTATGCTGAGAACCTCCTAGACCCAAGGGAAGATTTATGCCAGCACACATGGAGATCTCCACAGGACACCAAGCCCACAGATGTTGGAAGGAGACAAGGACCCTCCCCCAGAGCCAACAGAGAGAAAGACTTCCTCTAGAGCTGGCAGCCTGAATTCTGACTTCTAGCCTCCTAAGCTGTAAAAGAGTAAATTATTTTAACAATGGTTTGTTAAAGCCACCTGCTTATGCTCTTTATGTTACAGCAGCACAGGAAAATGAAGACAATTCACTTCTTTTGTGCGGAGGCAAGAAAATAAGTAAAGGAGACTAAGGGGAGGGAAAGGGTGGTAGCCTGGACAGAAAAAAACAAAGCCTAATTCCCTGGAACCCAAATATTAAAGGCACCCATCTGGAACAGAGAAGTTCATCTCTGGACTTAACTCATTCGTAAATTTTCAGACTTAGAAAATTTAAAAATCAACTATCTGTCTATTAAATATAAATATA